GGCAAAAAAAAGGGGGTTAGGCCCCCCCCCCCCCCCCGCCTCCCCCCCCCCGCCTGTTCCCCGATGGTCAACGCGAAACAACAGAGAGGCTCTCTATCGGTACTGTGGCGAGAGAGGGTTGCCTCACCGGCATTGCGGGAAGCTCGTCGTCGCCTCGTCCGAGTCGCAGCTTCCGGCCCTGAGGGAGTTGCATGAGAGGGCCAAGGCGTGCGGCGTCGGGGATGTTCGGCTGCTAGGGGCGGAGGAGGCCGGGGAGATGGAGCCGCACGTGCTCTGCGCTGAGGTGAGCTTTGCTCCCCTTCGCCAGGCAAACGTGTGGCACATGATCAAATGACTATATTGTAGAACAAAGCCGCGAATGAATACACCGCCCCAGCTGCCGCTTGCTGCTCAAGTCTACTGACTTGACCCCCCTTGCGCTGGCTGGCCCTTGCGCCTGATAGAGCCCCTCTGGTGCTGTTCAAGTCGGTGTTCTGTCACGGTGTTATCCACCTGCGGGCGAGAGTGGCGGTGGACATCGCCATTCAACGAGCAAGAAAGAGTTTTTTTGCGAGACCTGTCCCGCTTCTGCCTTGTGATGATGATTCAAGCGTTGGTCCTCTCTGCCCCCACGTTTTTGTCTCATATGTCCACGTGAAACATTTCTCATTTTGAGTTCAAATGCGATTGCGGCTTCGAATGCGAAGACAGTGTTCATGTAGTCGCGGAATGTCCGTGGTACGAAAAGGAGAGGGAAGTGTACATGACTGAGCTGGGAAGAATACAAGGGACGTACAGGGAGATGTTTGAGGCATGGAATAGAGAGGAGAGGACGGTAGCGGTACTGGGGAGTAGAAAGTGGTTTGAAAAGGCGGGAAGTGACATCGGTAGGATAGACAGACTAGGGAAGACATTTTTGAGCCACCTTTGGCAAAGTAGGAAGGAACGATTGGCCATCGGTGATCGGTCCTGTGGGAACAATGCTCCGTCCTCTCGAGGACGCGTGGTCAATGGTCTAACCGCTAAGGCATGCAAAGCATAAGAGTACGCCCCCCCCTGTCTTCCTCTGCTCTGATTCCATTCTTCGTTTTGTCTTGTTTTCGCCGACGTTTCGCGTTGCGGGACGATTATCACATCACGATGTCACGACCAGGCCTTGTTCTCCCCCAGCACGGGTATCGTGGACAGCCACGCCCTGACCCTCTCGCTGCAGGGAGACGCGGAAGCTGCCGGCGCGGTTGTGTCTCTTCGCACACCTGTTCACGGGGCCGAGGTGCCACGGGTTGCCGTTGTTGTTGTTGTTGTCGTCGTCGGTGTTGTCGAAGCTGGTGCTGCTGCTGGTGCTGCTGCTGTTGCGGCTGCGGCTGTTATTGAATTCTTGTTACCGTCGGTTCGGGCCTGCTTGTTGTCAACAAGACAACCAACACGTTATTGCTGCTGTGTCTTCAAGCAAGGACCGGAAAAGCTTGTTGGTTGGGCGTAGAAGTGCTGTACACGCAACGGGACACGTCGAGATATGTTACCCAGACACTATTTAGTTCACACGCGTTTGCCTAGGCAGGGTCGGCTATGAAGAAGAGCTGAAACGCGTAACGCGGCAGTTCCTCGCATTCGTGTGGAATCAGCAACCTCGTCTGGAACTACTGCTACTGTCGCAGCTCCAAGGACAAACGGACGACCTCCTTTCGTAACTTTACGCGATGCCCTCCATCGTTGCAACCCCTAGGCACTACCGGAGGGGGGCATCTTGGTGGCAGCCGAGGGCGTGGATCTCCGATGCCGAACGGTGGTCAACTGCGCCGGGTTGAGCGCGGTCGGTCTGGCGCGGAGGGTGTCGGGCTCCATCCCCGATTCCTTCCCGGAGGCGTTTTTCGCCAAGGGCAACTACTTCCGATATGCTGGTGGGTATCTAAAATGCACCGTTCCTGGTCGTTGTTGGGATAATGGTTGCGATGTTCATTCTGGCCCCGGGAAAATGGTTGCCAAAGCTCTTTCGGGTTGTTTCCTATCCTGCGGGAAGCGGCGGTGGTGGCGAGGGTTTTCCCCGGCAAAGTCAGCCACCACTACGAGGCCGACGCATATGTTTGTAGAATAACGTCACAACCCGAGGTAGTTCCTTCGTCCCCCGTTTTTTGTTTTTTCGGAATACAGCAAGAGCCGTAAGAGAGTTTTCAGCGCTTCTATTCCGATGTAACTGCTACCGCATTTGTCTGGGGGGGGTGTACTCATAGTCGTGCATGCCGTAGTCGTTTGACCATTGACCTCCCATCCCTACAAAGCCGGGACGGAGCACGCCGGGTTCTCACCGGACCAGGCTCTCACATCACCAAAAGCGCGAAGCGCCGTGAGGTATTCGGCGAGTCGCATGAAGGGTGCGTTGCATCCTGCCAAGGGTGTTCGGCAGATCTTGTGCATACTTCCTTGCGGACGGGTGACAGCTGCGTATGACTACGTTTGTCTGGGGGGGCAACAATGGCCGAACGGACGCGGTACCCTCCCCTGATTTGTCACAAGACGCATCGAGACGAGAGCATGATTGTGGCGGTGCACTACGACGCCAGGAAGACGGGAACAAGCACCCGGGGCGCATTTTCAGTACGTGGTGGTGTCAATTTTGGGGTGGCTCCTGATGGTGCTGCTGCTGCTACTGGTGCTGCCGCCGCCGCCGCCGCCGCCGCCGCCGCCGCTACCTTTTCTCTGTATTCCTGAATGTGTTGCCCCGTAAATCAAGCTTCAAACACCACTTTTTTCAGCCCATTGTTTTTTTGCGTCTTCAACCTGTCGCTGCCTCCCACACATGGTCGCTGTCCAACTTGATCGAGCTGTTGCGCGCCTGGCTGACATGCTTTATGTTCGTACGGCGACATGTTCCTGCTGCCGCGTACCATCAAGCGTCTTGCTTTCGTACACACACGTGTCTGTCTCTCTAGTTTATCTGGGTGTCTGTCTTTGTTGTCTGTCTGCCTTATCCGTATGTCTGTTCTGTCTGTCTGTTCTGTCTGGCTGTTCTGTCTGTCTGTTCTGTCTGGCTGTTTGTCTGTCGGCCCGCCCAGGCCGTCCCCCTTTCCGCCACCTGGTGTACCCGTTGCCTGAACCGAACCAGGCAGGGCTAGGTGTGCATGCCACCTTGGACCTCGCGGGACAGGTGGAGAAAGCGCCCTGTTGTTGTTGTTGTTGTTGTTGCTGCTGCTGCTGCTGCTGCTAACGTGCATTTGGTTCCCTAACTCACGAATCTCACGAATCTACTCCGGCCCGAAGACGCCCCACGCCATTTCTTTGTGCTGCCTTGGAGCATGTGAAGGTGTGCGCGGTCCAACTGCGCCTCGATGCTGACGGCCTACGAACAGGACCCATTCGTTTCATATGCTGCAATACGTCGAAGCAGTTGGGTAGCGGGTGCTTAGCGTCAGAGGCTGTGGAGAAAAGGTTGACTCAAGACCTTTGATTATTTCCGAGTTGAACAGGGCAAGCCTGCCCTGGCGTACTTGAAGGGGCTCCGCCCTTCCAAGTAACACATACCCACAATGTGATACACGAAGACCCCTAGATCTCCGTACATCCGTACATAGTGCTGAGTACACCCAACAATGCATCCCAATCCCGCGGCGTCTCTATTCCGTATCCACCGGCACAGGTGCGGTTCGGCCCTGACGTTGAATGGCTGCCGAAGCCGACGACCCAGCCACACCAGCACCGGCGGCACCTTGGGGTTTCCAGGGAGGCTTTCGAAGAGGACGGATTCGACTACGGGGTGGACCCAAGCCGCTCGGTGGATTTCTGCAACGCCATCCGCAGGTAACAAGGGTCGTGCTTTCAAAGCTACTACTGTACCTTGAACATAACATATGGCTGTTGAAATGGATATGTACGTAGCACAAGGTAGATGAATCAATCCTCCGGTAGAGATAGATGCAAAATAGAGACGAAGAAGTTTGAACAGGCTCGGACCCTCATCTTGCTCTGTGTCTGTATTTTAGTTAGCATCGGCCTCGCAAACCTGACTGACTAAGGAAAATGCGTTAGTCTATTCGGGTGTGCTTGTCTTGCAACGAACGCACTACTGTACTGTATCTGTATGACCAACGAGTTTTGTTGTTGTCGTTGCTTGTTTCAATTGGTTGTTGACCGCGCAGCAGGCTTACTGGCCAAAGAAAGCAGTCACTCGAAAAATATCCGATCTGTGTCAACAAACAACACCTCTTCCTTGTACCGTCCCCATGCAGGTGGTGTGTGTCGCGTTTCTCATTCCGGACGTTTCACCCGCATGGTGCACCCCTTCATTTCTACCCTCTCCCCCATCTCCTATTATCATTCTGCCCTCCCTGAAGATGGTCTGTGTCATGCGTTGCTCATGGTGTATATATGCAACACACCACCAAACACCGCTTCAGCTGTCTCTTCAATCGTGTGTGGAGTGCTTGCACGTATATGCTCCACTTTGTAATTGTTGATTTTGATGTGTCTGCTGCTGTTGCACTTGTCATGTGGTATGTTTACACTTTGCAGTATTGAGGTCTAACAACGGCAGCAAGTACTATTTTTCGACGAGGATGCTAAATAGTCGTGTGGGTGTTGCCTCTTTGCCCAGGTACTGGCCCGGGGTCGAGGAGAGCAAGCTCGTGCCGGACTACAGCGGGATACGGCCGAAGCTTGTCGGGCCCGATGGTCCCTCGGTTGTCGCCCACCACGACAACGACAACGACGACGACGACGCCGGTCATCACCGAGCTCTCGGAGAAGAAGAACCGGATGAAGAACATCGCCAGTATCCTCCTGTTCCCCGGCCCGGGGCCAGCCACTTCAGAGGGGCGGCGGACTTCGTGATTCAGGGCAGGGACGAGCACGGGGTGGACGGCCTGGTGAACCTGATGGGGATAGAGTCTCCCGGGCTGACGGCCTCCCTCGCGATAGCGGACCATGTCGTGGGCATGTTGGAGGGGCGGCGGCGGCGGCGGCAGCAACAGCATTGAGCGCCGTTGTCATAAACGAAAAAAGGCGCTTCGTTTTGCGTCGAGGCTGTCGATAGGACGGCAAGGTTGTGCGCATGCAGACTAGTAGTAGGCGTATACGTGCGCGGGGAGAGGCGGCCATCCGATACTCACCGCCCTGTTCTTTCCGTGGGATGAAGCGGAGGCGACAGTATGTACGGCTGTCGTCTGCTCTTTCTGTTGAGATCTTTGTACGTGTAGAGTTGTTTTATTTGGTACTGCTGTGTTCTCGAGTGTAGACTATGCATTGAATATTGTTGAGGCAACAGCACTGTCACTGCAGTTGCTGTACAGCTATTCCTTCAGCTGTGGCTACAAAGTAGCTGGCATGTGATGCGAGGTTAGGTAGGCAAACACACAGAGTGATATTATTATCCACACAGACGCCCAAGCTGTCTTCACCTGACGGTTACAGACTTGGCAACGCCTTCACAATAACGCATAAACCCATGCAGTAGAATAGAGTCGTTCTTGTACCGCAATTACTCCAACATGTCCTCTCAAGAACTACGTCATTCTAGTACCTATGCATCAGATCCAATTCTCTCTCAATGTCCTCTCGAAAACAATATCCATGTCCTCTCGAAACAATGCTATCTTAAGAACTTCTGTCTCAATATCAATTGTTTTGCCTTTCTCAGCTGCGTTGCATCAGCAGCGATTTATTTTCCTTCGACACAAATCTCCCGAATTTTCTTCTAACATATACACACACATACACCATCCAACCCTCAAGACATAAAGTCTGATTACGAAGAAGAGGGGAGGTGATCAAACTCCTAACAGCATGCCACGGGCGCGGAGAAACTCCGACGGGTTTAGCCCTTTCGTAAAAATGTCCGCTTTCTGAAGCGACGTCGATATTTGCTTCACGTCTACGACTCCATCAGCTACCAGCGACCTTACGTGGTGAAACTTTACGTCAATGTGCTTCGTCCTTGGGGTGATACGGAAGCTACGAGTTAATTTTAGAGCTCCCGAGTTGTCCTCCCACACCACGGTTGCTTCTTCCTGAGTCTGATTTATGGTGTCCAGCAGGTGGCGGAAGTACTTGATGATGTTGCACCCCTTCGACAAAGCCACGAACTCTGCTTCAACGGAAGAGGTCGCCACCACCGTCTGCTTGGATGATGTCCATTCCACCGGTCCACCAGCGAAGTACAACACGACTCCCGTGGTGGAGTAGCCCTTGTCTAGGTCGCCTGCAAAATCTGAGTCGACAAACGCCGTAATGACGTTTCCATCTCCGGCGTCCTCGCCGTAGCGTACACCGATTGATATCGTACCTTTCAGGTACCTGAGTACGCGTTTGAGTTTCTGCATCGCCCTCGGACCTGGTTTCGCCATACTCCGCGTCAGAACCATTACGGAGTGAGTAATGTCGGGCCTTGTGCACCTGCTGAGATATAGAAGCGAGCCTGTGGCGGAGCGGAAATATGTGGTATCCTCCGCTGACAGCACCTCGTCCTCCAAGACGGACACCGGTCCAGCCTCAGACGGAGATGTCGTCGGACGCGCGTCGGCCATGCCGAACTTGTCCAACACTGCGTTGGTATACGCTTCCTGTTCCAAAAGAATCCGCGTCTTTGCTGTGAGTGGTTTGGCCGTCCAGAGGGCCGGTTGTCGGAAGACGCACCACCAGCTCCGTTGCCAGAAGTTGCGCCGCCATGGTTCTGGTCGTTGCTGTTGTTCCCCCTCGACGACCCGTTGTTACGGTTCGACGAGTTGTTCCAGCTGCCACGTCCGCGTCCACTGCGCTGCGCGCGTCCACGACCATGATGACCGCCGCCCTTACGGGAAGAACGCGCTCCACCGTGTGTGACGGTATTCAGCGCACGGCTGCTGCTTCCGGACGCGTTCTTCGAGGCAACTTTACCACGAATGTGCATCGCGTGGAACGAAGTGGCTCGGTCGGCGACCTCCTCGAAGGACAAGACGCTCCCAGCAGCCTGGCCGCACAGCAGCCCTGTCTTGAACTCTTTGTAGTGGTCGTCCGGCAGTGCTTTCAGGAAAGCGAACGTCTTTCGGTGGTCAGCCACCGTGTCGTTATACACGGCTAGCTCCGTGCAGATCCGGCGCATGTCTTGAATAACATTGGCCGGATCAAAGTCGTGGTCCGCAGTAACTGCCAAAGATATGAACTTCTCGTGCAGCTCCTGCGTACGGTATACCCCAGCGGCCTGGTACTTTCGTTCCAGGGCGAGGAATGCTCCACGACCGTCTCCGTTGTAGGAAGACCCGATAGGCGCGTATGCCTGCACAGTCTGTGAGGCCGCGCTCTGGTAGCCCCCGGTTTCAGATGTAGCGAGCATCAGCCGGGTAAAGATCTGTCCGTTCTTGTCCTGGTATCCTTCCAGGGCAGTTTGGTATGCCAAAGTCAGGTTTGGCGTAGCGCTTGGTCCAGGATCCGTAGGGGCTTTCTCCACTCCCAACAGAACCTTGTGCAGCTTGTCCTCCATAAATAAGGAGGTCTGCAGAGTTCGCCAGCCGACGTAGTCGCCTGGGTCACCACTGAACTTGGCGAATCCTCTTCGGATCTCGCCTGACGAGCCGGTAGCCATGCTTACCGACGCTTGTGACTCTGGTGTACTAGCTCGAGCAACTCGAGGCTCAAAACCTGTTGAGGCAACAGCACTGTCACTGCAGTTGCTGTACAGCTATTCCTTCAGCTGTGGCTACAAAGTAGCTGGCATGTGATGCGAGGTTAGGTAGGCAAACACACAGAGTGATATTATTATCCACACAGACGCCCAAGCTGTCTTCACCTGACGGTTACAGACTTGGCAACGCCTTCACAATAACGCATAAACCCATGCAGTAGAATAGAGTCGTTCTTGTACCGCAATTACTCCAACAAATATCTTGACATCTTTTGTTTTTGCCCGTTAGCGGAGTACACAGCAGTAGTTGACCCGTTTTTGGTGGGAATGAAACTTCAACAGACCGTGGATGAGGCGCTGTTTTTTTCGGTACTTGTGGTTTTTGGAGGTAGCCAGCTGAACGTGCTGGGAGTACATGTAGTCGACTCCTTTGCAGTCTGTCTTGCTTGAAAGTGAAGATGCACCTGTCATGACAGCAAGTGTGTAGATGCAGAAATCCTTGCGTGGCCTACATGTACAGACACATACGCGTCGCCCAGTAACATGTACAGCAGTAATACACTTCAGTTTACGTGCCAGTTAAGAGCCCTTCATTTTCCAGACAAAATATGTAATAACCATTTGTCTTTCCAGCAACCCCGCCGTGCAGCGTGCATGAATCACACGCAGGATGCCCGCACCTGTAGAGTTAATCCCAGCCCTCCTTCCACGATGCCAGCCCGAAACTCAAGTTTAAGCCTTTAGAAGCCGAAATCAAACCATTACTAGGCTAATGGTTTGATTTCGGCTTCTATAAGCCGCGTGTCGCCGGCAGACTGTGTGTGGTATATGACAATAGTGTAGCCATGCCGAGTGATCCTTTTCTACAGGTGTACATTAGCAATCCAGATAATCACCTCATGGTCGCCATTGTTCTACATATGGTATGGCTGAAAAAAAAACAGTCCGACACGCACATACGAGAGGAAAACTTGACAAACACATGGATCATATCTCGTGACAGAATAGATGGGGCGAGCACACAGAAGACATCGACGCTGATATCCAACTCGATTTGCCTGCAGATTTGATTGTTCCAGGGTTCATATGTAAAAACAAATCAATGTTTTCCACCGGCATCATTGGTTCAGTGGTAGAATGCGTGATTGCCATTCACGCGACCCGTGTTCGATTCACGGATGATGCATAGTTTTTCTCCCTGAATTTTTGTCGTGGAAAACCCTAGTGAATGCTCGACGGTCCCTGCTCTCTTTCTTTCTTTACTCTATCTATAACGTACAAATACGCAAATACGCTGACTCGTTGATCAAAGCGAAATAACTCTGTTCATGTTTATTGTTTCCCAGTCATCAATCAAGTAAGTGTGTTGATTCGGTTCATGTACTTTGTACGCAGGACGACGCTTCTGTACGATTGAGATCTTCCTGAAGTTCACGTGTGTGTGTGTTTGTATTATTATTAATAGCATCGACCGCGTTAACCGGCTGACCAATGAAAAAACGTCAGTCTCAGTGCGGGTGAAAACACAACACACTTCTAAATGCCATTAACTGGGACCCCGTGTGTGTGTGTGTAAAAAAAGGGCCGTTCTATGTACTACCAGGTACTACTGTAGTAGTAGTCCATGTACCCTAAGAAGGCTTGACGGTCCGATCATGATGAGAAAGCATCTTCCCGCGAAGGCAATGGCGCGGGCGAGGGAAAACGTGTTTGTTCGTATACTTGAAAAGTAGTTATTTCGTTGTTGCACAAACACGTTTTGGTATCTCTCGCCGTGTCCGGCCGCTCATCTACAAATAACCGTATGTACGTAAGAATGTAAATGACAAATATGTAAATGACTAAAAAACGAGCTCCCGCCGTCACCACGCTCAATCCCACTTCACATCATGTGAGTGTCGGTTTTCGTACCCTCCTCATGGTTGATACGTACAAAGATTATTACACTCCCTGACTCGCGACCGGTGTGGCGTGTTTTTCCTCTCACATGTTAATACATTTGGCAAAATGAATATGGGTGTGTATTGTTTTGGTTCAGGGATATTTTACTTTCTTCAGTTTTCCTGGAGACGCCATGCGGTTTCGAAGAAGTAGACCAGCTCTGATGAGTGTCCGTTGATAGGGAAGGGTGTGCGGCGACTCGAACATGAGCGGTTTCTTTCTTGCTGAGCGACATTATTATAATTTTCAGGGAAGCCACACAACGATGATGACATACATACCAACCACCCGCATCCCAATCCTTGGTTTATTCTTCAGGTGCGAGGAGAGTTCTTCCGACGAACTCTCTCCAATACCACCACCAACCCTCCCCGCGCCTTCCGCGTGGGCAGTACATGGTGATACTACGCGTACGTACGTTTCGTTCTGCAAAAAATAAAGAAAATGGTAATCATTTAAGTAGCAGTTTACCTTCCTTGGTCCACAGCTAAAAAAATCCACGACAACGAACGGAAGAGGATAGACAGCATGGTTTGCATTGTGACACTGCATTTCCCTCTGTTTCGGAGGAGTCGCCAAAAGGGCGGGTTTGTGGGATATATATTTCACACGACGAGGGAAAAAGAGTACTATAGACTTCGCAGACCGAAGAGGTACATACTGTAGAAGACATGACTGAAAAAAAGCGCCCGCCAAAAGCAAAAAACGACGCGCAACACAAATTATGGCCATCGCTCAAGGGGATGCGACGACCGCAACACAAACCAAGAAGACAGAAACCTCGAGCAGCATGTTCAGTCGTACCGCGCTGCGAACTTTCACGGAAGACTCAGCAGATGACGACAATTAGCATGTGGTCCAAAATAGGAGCAAGTCTGAACTAACAACCGTTTCGGATCCAATCGTGAAGGCACGAGAGACCCGACAGCAGTGGCGTTGTCCTCACACCCATGCATGCACAAATAGACCCGCCTATGTGCCAACAATCCGGAACAGGGGAGGGCGTCCACTTTCCAACTCCAAGAAGTTGCACCAAACAACTGACCCCAATAGGGCGCCCCTAATACAACAAAAATACACCCAAAACTTAACACGAGTTTGTACGTACACTTCGGGCGTGAAACGTAAATATACAGTAAGCAAAACAATATTGTAACACCTGGCTGCGGTCCAGGTTAAAAAACCAATTCGGTACAGGTTCCAGGAGGATCCTTCTAACACATACCATAGAACGTGGATCAGAGAGAAATACAAGCAATCCATCCTCTGCGTGCACAGATCTAGGGGAAGTTGACGTGTGGGATTTGAACCAAGACTGCTGTGTCGAGGTCTACTTGCCCCCAACGCCTTCTTCGAAAACGCCCAACATGCCACCGACGACACAACACGACGTCGCTTCCTGAACGCAACGAGACAAAACTCTTGGTCACAACAACAATGACAACAACCCATTACCGTGTACAGGTTAGTGCAGAACGGCAGTCTCATTAAAAAAATAGAGTTCGTCACACAATTTCAAGCAACACCCCTCAAGTTTGACTGCATTTTCGGGTGTGGCTTCAAATAATACACAAGGGGCATGATACCCCACCCACCATGCCGCTCTTTCGACAACAAGTCTGCTGGATAGTGGCAGTTGTGGAAAACAAGTCGCTACAATACAACACGCCAACTTCGTTTAACGACTGATGCCATAGTCTAGGGCAAGAGAACCCTCAAGGACAACTTCTCCAAAACTATTCACACCACCCACCCCCGCACACTTCAATCCGCGTCGTTTCATCTACGAAAAAAAAAAGAAGCTCTCCAATAAACCAATCGGCGTCGTTTCATCTACGAAAAAGATAAAAGAGGCTCTCAAATGAACCAATCCGCGGCGTTTCATCTACGAAAAAGATAAGAGGAGGGTCTCCAATAAACAGCAATGTGCAATTCGAACTAAACCCAACCTTGTCACGGCCTTGTCTCTGTGACAATCGGAAACTCCACCGCAACGGCAGATGCTAAACACATTGTTTGAAGATAAACTGACTGATTTAAAGGTTTTTGTCGGATGGCCCTTCCTCCAAGCCCCCTGCCGCTGTTGCTGTCGCTGACACAGCACGAGCATCCGCCGTGGACTCCGATCCCGGGGGCGGCAGCGTGGCTCTTTTGCGCCCGGTCATCTGGTCCATCTCGTCCTTGACGAACCCGGCGTTCTCTAGCCCTCTCACCATGTACACGTACACGGGAGTCACGGCGAGGAGCGCCCAGGGGGTAAAGATCCACGCGAAAACTGGAGCGGTAGGAGCAGCAACAGCAGCAGCAGTGGCAGCAGCACAGGAACGCGTGTGCGAAGCGCCGTGTCATGCCACAGGAGGCATGTGTGGTCGTTCGTTAGGAAGATGGAAGAATCAATCCCGCCTTGGCAATATTCCCCGTGTACTATTCTGCCTTTTCTGTTTTTTTCATCTAGCAGGTGCATGAAGGAAGGTTAACCGCCGGGGCAGGCAGAAAGTGCTGAGGGGGCACCAACACAAAGGCAATTACAATTTCATTCAGGATTGCACGAAGACAAAAAACGTGCGGGCACTGTTATTGGTCGCGGTATTTTCACACGCACGAGCATGACGAACAACAATTTGCAGTTGTGTAGTTGGGTCACATTTGTCTCCTTGTTTTGGCAGCAAGGTGCAACGAAATTCTCATCACCCTGCAAGACGGCAGTGCGGCGGAATAGCACACCTACCTGGAATTGTTCCGAAGTACAGCCGGATGCCCAGGCTGAAGTACTTGTGGGAGTGCTCGAATACGTTGACCAACATCGCGTGAGACATCGGCACGCCTTCGATCTCTGTGACTCGAAGAAGAATGCGGTCGATTTTCCGCGTGACGTCAAAGTACAGACGGGGAGGAGAGAACTTGTTGAGTGCTTGACATCGGACCTTGACGTTTTCTGCGCTTCTATTGCGAGACCTAGCCATAGAGCGGGGGTAAAAAGAAACACGAAAGTGACCTTGTGATAAAAAAGTGTGCTTGCAACATCGTGCTTAGTCCTGTGAGTGTGCTGGAAGGATGTGTGCAAGCGCCATAGAGCATGCCCCTGTCTGGCCTGTTTCCGCCGTGCCACCCTCCTCGCGGTGCCGCTACAAAAGCAAACGTTATTAGCACAGGTAAATGACGAAGGGCACGAATGCGGCAACGCTGCTGTTCATCGGTTCACCGAATTCTTCTGTGTGGACCCGGATCGGACCTCGTCAGTCGTAGGGAACGCAGAGGAGGCAAAAGTCGTAGGGAATGAAGGAACTCCTTGCACTAAACAATGGTAGTTGCACTCTACGCCAAGAAAAAGTGAAGCAAATATGGCGATCAAGAGCACCGCTTGCGTACAAGTCTCTTTGAGTTCGGCATAAAAGCAAGCTACCAGAGCACCGCCGTGACGCGCCTTCTCTAAGCAACCCCTCTTCCACGCATATACACATTCACACTCGTCGATATACATACTACATACACAAGTAAATATATACACAAATGCTGATATGCATGTGAACTTGCCTCTGGTGTTGATGCAAAAGCTGAAGTGCACCGCGAAGCGAGTACACTGCGTCAGGACGAAGAAGTTCACGAGCAGGACCGCCGAGAGGCAGCCGAGCTTGATCACGAACAGCCAGTCCTCCGGGGTGCAGTCGTCGTCGTCGTCGGAACAGTCCGTGTAGATCGACCCTGATTGTTGGGCCGGATCGATTGGATGGTACAGATGGTATGATCGGTCGAAGCAACGTTTGGACTGGATGCGATGGGTTTGGTCCAACAGGAATTTGAGTTTGACTCATGTGTGTCTCAACTACTGTAGTTCTCGGCCGTGGCTTGGTGAACGGTTCGGCAAGGAGAGGCCGGTCCCGACAAGTCTAGCCAAAAACGTTGCTTCCGTGGTAGCGCAGCCCGAGAGTACAGTCATGAAACCCAAACCCGCAAGCTGCTTGTGCATCCACCTCCGGCACTGCTGTTCTGCTAAAGAAGACCGTGGAGTGGATGGTGCACCCACTTGCCTGCGTATCCTACAGCGAAGGTGGCGAGAGTAATGGCGGTATTGGCCATGAACACGGCCGACTTGATGTAGTCTCGGGTGGTGTTGCAGGCCGCCGTCCCCTTCATAAATTGGTCCTGCGGTGATTCGAAAGCGATCTCATTATTCGTCGGCGTGTGTGTGTCCCCGAAATCAGATGGCCGTTTTTGACGTGGGTGGAGCAGTTGCATTCTGTTCGATTCGCTGGGGCATCATGCATGGATTGGTGAAAAATCGAGGCTCTTGTTGGACTCGATTCAAACTGCGGCATGATCCCCCAACGGTTGAATAACGCACACCCATCCTGACCTAGCCTGCGTGAGAGTGCCATCAAAACTATAATAGATGGCACCTCACAAGCACAGGCGCACACACCCCACACCCCCTCCAGCACACAGAAGGAATGCTTCCCTTGCGTGTGGTCCAAACACCTTTGGCCCTTACAGACGTCTTCAAATAAAAAACCATCCCGACTTCGTGTCCAGTGCCCCCCCTTCGACCCGCAGGGCAACAGAAACGGGTTACATGGTCGCAAGTTTAAGGGAATTTGCTACCCTATTTCAGTTGTATTTGATTCAGCAGAAATACACAAGCACAAGTGCACCCGCTAACCTTGACCCAGCCAGCCCTCACAGCCTTGAAAAGGGTCCGAGCCCGCGCGGGATCGTCATGGGAGCCGAGGAACTCCCACGTCTGGAAGCCGGCGCAAACCGCGAAGCATATCGCTGGTATCACGACCTGCAAACGAGCACGAGACAGCAAGGGGGAGATGGAGGAGGAGGGGAAAGCGAATCAAAGATGAGGAATCAACATTTCGGCCAGGATTGATTGTTCGGAAGGCAAAGCAAGGGTGCCGTCAGCCCGCACGTCCAAAATTTAGGCACTTTTTGAACCACTCCCGGGCACGGAAAATGGCGATCACCTTGTTAATAAATCACGTGAACGACGTGCACTACGCCACAGTTTTCCTCACGATATCACACGAAGAAATCACCACGCCTTGCTCGGGGCAAGATTCTTGACCCTGCTCGCAACATGCTGCATACTTGGAAAGGGCGGGGGAAACCTCTTTCTGTCCGTCCCCTCCCATTTCAGCAACAACACCGTCAATGTTAATGTTTCTTCGTAGCACACCGTTGAGACTACGGCGGCGGTGAATTCTTCGCCGGAGCACAGCAAAACGAGAGAATACGGGGGCGCCATTACCACGGCAGCAGTAGCTTGAGTGTATCAAGATGTAATGTAGTTTTGTACGGACTCCAATTCTTCATCATGTGAATTTTGTATTTTGTAGGAGGCAGTGACAATGAATACTGCTTTTATTTACTGCTGTCCCATGCACAACTTTCCTTTCATGCCTGGCTTTGCTTTGTGTCCTTTGAGAGCCTGCTGTGTGCTTTGAGAGCTCTCCACATAGCGATGATGCGTGCTGTGGGTGCGGGGCATGCATGTAGGGAACATGCCAAGCTTGGCGACGTTCCTTTTTCAGACGCCAAACAGCAGACTTGCGGATTTCAACGAAGGACTGGTACAGGTTCCCCACACCAAACAAAGAAGCCCAAGGGTAGTAGTATACAGGCCGCAGCGGATGGATTAGAAGCCATCTCTGTAGCACGTCCAACGGTTGCTGCAGGGGCGTTAGCTTACCTCTTGCAAGTTGATTCCATCCACGACCTCAACCATGGCCCTCGTAATGTTGAACTATCGTCGATGCAATAGTCTACCCGGGCGAAAACGTCAACAAGACGCTGTGGTTACGCCTGGCAGCTGCTGCCAACACCCCACAGCAGTGTGTCACGGCTGTGACAGGTTCCACCAATGGTTGGTTGCTTGCTAATTCTTCGATGCATGCAACGCCGCCTTGGCTGCCTTGCTGCCTTGCTGACGAGATGTGCGGCGGAACCGTTTTGAAAACTCGTGTGTGGGGGGGGAGGCTCCCGCGCAGTCTCATTTGACACCCACGGCGCCCCCCAGAACACCAATATACATGTTGTCCTGCCAATGTATGCTGTCAGATCCTCACACGCATGCTGTCCTGCCAATGCTGTTTCAGGCACAATATATATATATTTCAGGGGCGCGAGTGTTGGTAGGCTGATACATGATACAAGTAGCGTACGCGGCAGGAAAAGTCTCTTTTTTGTTCCGTTTCGGTGCGACTGGATCTTTCCGCACCGTTCCTTACAATCGCTCAACGGCTACTTTCTACAACACAACGGTATCTTCTACGCTCGGTAGTAGTGTAGCAGTTTCCTTTTTTCTCAACGATGCATCCAGCGGACAGACCGATAAGAAGAGGGAATTCTCTTTTGCAATCGTTGCTCGGGTGCTAGACTTACAACAACGAGCACGGCGTGGATAGGTGCGCCATGGAAAAGCATGGCCGTTTGCCCTCCCCTTTTAATAATTGGCAAATGCGCAGGGGGTCAGCTTGTGGGATTATCGTCGAAGCACCATCAGGCGTTGTCAGATGATCGACGGGAACAAGAGATACTTTCTAGCTTGTGGTAATCTATGTTGGTCAGCGCCTCTATCCTTCAGCGTGCTCACGCACTCCGTGGTCCTCCCTCGTGCTCTCAAGGGTATCGCGTCCTACGGCCGCTATTTTCCCTCCCTCCTCATGTGAAGGTCCAAAGAGGAACGTGTAACGCGCAGGATGTAGACTAGTTGACTAGACTTGACTACGCAACTACAATGTACGCACGAAAACATATTTTTCGTGACCCCGGTATCCCAACAATAATTGACGCGTTTTTTCAATTTTGGCGTTACACAATCTCCATTATTTCTTGACGACGTCGTAATTACTGTACTCTGTGCGTTTCCGAAAGCGCGATGTCGACCACAAGACTCTCATTCGCACGTGGCATCCAAGCGCAATGCCCAGACACAGATTGAGTGCAGTGAACACACGCACGTGTTAGTAGATGGCGTGAGCCTTGGGCAAGAGCTGAAAGTGAGGGGAAGCATGGTGTTCGCACGACTCCGTTAAAAACGATAAAGCACATTTATTCGCGACCCCTTCCTGGACCACAATTTCCTTCCCTTGGCCGTGACGTCGCCAGCAACGTGTCCCGACCTCCCTTTTCTTCATGGCGCACGCTTCTGGGGATGCCCACACTTGTCATTTCCGTGGTATGCATAGGTGATAGGTGAGTGAGCATTGTTTGCCTGCTGGCGCTGAAGCACCGCAACCCTTCGCGAATCGTTCGTGTTTGCTCGCGCGCAGTACCTGCTGCTGAATAGAAGTTGGGATATGTGCTTTGGATGTCTCCGACCTTCAAGCATTCAGCCCATCTATTGCAGACCTCGTCATGTCTCTCTTCGATGTCCCATTCGCACCCGTCCGGCCGGCCTGCAGCAACTTCACCCTTTCTCACCCAATAATGTTGCATGCTTCTCATGCAGGAAAGCGACTGCTCAACCCCCTCTGCCCAGACAACTAATAATGAGCCAGAAGGAAGTTTAAAGCTGCTCGCGACAATATTTGATGTGTGCCAAACTGACTGGAAAATCCACAACGCCGCCAACAGGCCTTCCTTCGCTGTTCGAGATAGTGGAATCGATGGGTAACGGTCAACGCCGAAGAATGTGAGTGGTTGGCTCCTGATACTCCATCGCAACACTTCTACGCATTCGAGAAACCCGTCAATGAACCAGGATAGGTTTCTTCGTAGTCGTGGTTTTTTCCATTTTCTATTCTAGATCGAGTTCTCTTTTGGTCGTCGGCTTCTGACCACGGAAGGCGTCTGCGTCAGTTGGACCAGTACGGATATTAGAAGGTACTGAGCGCAGACAGGAACCATGGGTACACGAAAAAACTCCTGGACATACCCTCAGACGGCCGAAAACAAAACGAAAAACAAACTAGGCACACGCAACAGGTGTTTCGAAGCCTTTTCGACGTCGGTACATCACAAAGAACTTGTCCAAACGATACACTACATACACATCTAAACCATCGTGCGGTCGTTTCTTGATAGGGAAACACTTAGTTCCGATATTCAATTCCGTGTTGTCCGTCCTAGCCAAAATACAACAGCAGCAGTTAGTTTAATCGTCGGGCCAAACAAAGGACTCAGGAATATCGTATACCAAATTGCGTGACAAAGGGGATTTACTTGTTTCCAAGCAGTTACTGCGTGCCCCGTTTGACCAGCTCCTCTCGCGAGTCGAGCCCCCGCAGATGGGAGATGACCGCCGTCGCAGATCACCTTCGTTCTGTATTCTCGACAAAATGAAGATATGACGCCAGAGTAATATTGACGTTAGACTATATATATGCATGGGCATAATGAATCCAACACGCTTATCCGTCCCCGGTAGATCATCTTCCTGCTGGCGGTATCCGATTCTGTGCGACGGTTCGTTGTGGTGTGATGCAGGTGCGGCATGTCTTTATTTTAAGCATCGACCGCGCTAACCGGCTGACCAATGAACAGGAGTCAGTCTCATTGCGGTTCAAAACGCAAAACACTTCTAAACGCCATTAACTGGGACCCCGTGAGTGGGCGGCATGGGGGAGGCTAAGCTATCCTCTGGGTGAAAGACAGACACAGTAGCAACAGGAGAAAACTGCACGCATCTACCAAGGCTACTACGTTGCACTCGAGTTCGTTTTGGAGTGCTTTCACCATCATCCTCCTTGCTTTCACTACCATCATTCTCATCATCGTTTTGACAGCATTTTTTCGGCAGTTCTTCGCTGGCCCTGCGTCGTTTGTTGGTGGGAAGATAATCTGGCTCGAAGCTCTTGCTCTCTTCCACGCCGTGATTCCCTCCTCGATTGCTGTCGTCTTGGTATCTGTTTTGTCCTCCCGTTGCCTCTCCTCCTCCTTCGTCGCTGCCAAAACGAATTCTCCCCATTGCCATCATGATCGTTGCTATCTGCACTACTACATACAACACAAACCAAACGAGGCGGGGGGGTTTGTTCATCGCTTAGGCAGGGCAGCTGACGAAATTACATGCGTCGCGACGGAAGGGGTCATTGGCGGCAGAATGTTCGAACATCGCAAGGTAGATTGGTTGAATATGCACGGGCGGCATCGAATGATCTTCCAGATCTACAGTAGGATGTTCTGGTAGACAGATTTTCCAACGAATCGAGCACCAGGGAGAAGTTCTACCCGGTGCTTTCCAAGCGCTTGCTAAACTGTTGTGATGGTTCTTGACTCCATGCAATCGAAGGTGGGGAGAACGCAACGAAGCCCTGCACTATTTGCCAATTTAATGGGGCGGGAGCACGGCCGGGGAAGCGATTGGTTTTGGGAGGAGCGGCGCTACGCAGGTGAGTTTAAATCAACAAGGCTTGCGTTGAGAGGATAGAGTCGGGGCTGGGTTGGACACGAGATGGCATGGTGGGCGGCGAGTCGGGGAAGGGGATGATGCGGGGAGGAGGGATATTTTGCAGATACATATGTCGATGAGAGTGAGCGAACAAGGCGGGCAAAGAATCAAGCTAGCCAGGAGCTCGCCTGAACTCGAGATGAAATCGCGGGAGGAGGGTCAGGGAAGAGGTTTGCCCGCGAGAAGCGATGCCTCGCAGGTGGTAATCAGTGAACACGGCGTGTGGCGGGAGACATGGACTGGGGCTAGCCAGGAGCTGGGATGGTCTAGGGATGGTATGGCTAGAGAAGGATTGGGGATGGGTTTGAAGCGGCGAGGGGGACCGCATCCCAGGTCAGAGTGAGTGAACAAAGCTAGACAAGGAATCGGTCTACAATAGCCAGGAGCTCGGACTGTCACGAGATAGCATGGCGCGAGATGGGTCAGGGAAGGGGTTCGTTTGGCGAGGAGAAGTTCGTTGCAGCTGAGCGTCAGTGAACAAGGCCTGGGGTGGGAGAAACAGACTCGGCCTAGCCAGGAGGTTGGATGGACGGGGATCGCATGGCTGGAGAATGGCCTGGGAAGGGTTTGGGGTGGAGAGGAGGGACGCCTCACAGGATAGAGTGAGAAAACAAGGCGAGACGAAGGACCGGTCTAGCCAGGACCTGGGATGGGGTGGGGGTGACATGGATGGAGAAGGGTCGTGGAAGTGCCTGGTGTGGCGACGAGGCATGACGTTTGCAGATGAGAGTGAGTAAATGAGGCGAAGGCAGGTATCTGTTGAGGCAGAAGCTGGGATGGGCGCGAGGTACCTTGGGGGGGCAAGGATCAGGGACGGGGTTTGTTTCGGGAGGAGCTTCACCACGCAGGTGAGAGTGAGCGAAGGAGGCGAGCGAAGGCGTCCGTCGAGGCAGGAGTTCACCTGGACGCGAGATGTTACGAAGGGAGAAAGGCTGCGGAAGGAGTTGGTTTGGCGACGAGGGATGACCTGCAGGTGAGAGTAAGCGGGTCCGGCGTAAGGTGGGAGGCAAGGACTTGTTCTAGCCAAGAGCTGGGATGGAGGAGGAATGGAATGACGGGAGAATGGTCGCGGAAGTAGTTGGTGTAAAGAGAAGCGACGCCAAGCACGTGAGAGTGAGTGAATAAGGCGAGGCAAGGAATCGATCTAGCCATTGGCTGAGATGGACGACATATGGCATGGGGTGAGGTGGATCGGAGATTGTATTTGCGGGAGGTGATTCCTTCCAGTTGAGATTCTTGGGACACCGCGTGGGGTGAGGGGCCGGGCTGTAGCAAGCAGTTCCAACCACCGTCAATGACAAAGCGGGAGAACGATCGGGGTAGGGGATGATTTG